AGATGTGGCCTTGTTGAAGGAGGTGTGTCACTGGGGATAGGCTGTGAGGTTTCAAAAGCTCACTCCAGACCCAGGAGCTCTCTCTCGCTCTCGTTCTCTCTCTCTCTTGTTCTCTCTCTCTCTTTCTCTCTCTCTCTCTCTCTCTCTCTCTCTCTCTCTCTCTCTCTCTCTCTCTCTCTGTCTATCTTTGTCTCTCTGTCTTTGTCTCTCTCTGTCTTGTCTCTCTGTCTCTGTCTCTCTCTCTTTCTTCTTCTTCTTCTTCTTCTTCTTCTTCTTCTTCTTCTTCTTCTTCTTCTTCTTCTTCTTCTTCCTTTCTTTCTCTCTCCATGATGGTCATAAACTCTAACCCTCTGTAACCATGAGTCCCAAATTAAAGTTTTTATTTTATAAGTTGCCTTGGTGATGATGTTCTGTTATTATAATAGAAAGGTAACTAAGAGAGGCATATTCTATCAATAATGAATGCTGATTTTGTGACTTCTCCTGTCTTAACAGTAGTAGTCCAATGCAAACACTCACTCTCTACTATTGCACTTATAGTATCTGATACTTCAAAAGAGCTGCAGAATAATAAAGGGGGAAAGAGACACAGATCATTGATTGAAATAAAAATATTGTATTCCGGTAGTTTCTATTCCATCATTTTGGCATTGCATCCCTCCTCTCTACAACCCAAAACAAAATGGTAGGGTCTCAGGTAATTGCTGTTATGTTATTGATTTTCTTCACATTATAGGAACACATATTTTTGGAATCCTAAGGATAGTGAGGTATCATCTTCTGTAGTCATTTTAATGTACAAACAGGGAGGGTTGTGTTCAAAGAGATAATTTGTTCAAGGTCACAGAAGTAGTTGAATAAGAGGTGGGACTGGATTCCAGCTCTTCATGTCCCAAAGAGAATAGAGCAGTGAAATCAACACATATTTTAACACTAATAAGAAACCTTAGCAAACTTAGCTACATAAAGCACAGCTTTGAGCCAGCTGTGGTAAGGCACACCTTTAATCCCAGCAATCCAGAGGCAGAGGCAGGCAGATCTCCATGAGTTTGAGGCCAGGCAGAGCTCCATAATGAGACCATGTCTCAAAACAACAACAAAAAATAAATAAAATATAGCTTTATGGTTAGAAATTCAAAAATTAGAAAAATGTATTTTTTGTTTAGGGAATCATTTTCATTTTGCTTAGTCTGTTGGTTTGCTTCTATGTTCATTTTGAGAGAGGGTCATCTCATTCTGTAGCCCACACTGGCCTGAGACTCACCCTGAAGCACAGGCTGGCCTTGAATTCCCGGCAATCCTTTTGCCTCTGCCTTCTGAGTGCTTGGGTTACAGGTACATACCATCATGCCCAGCTCCTATAAATACCAGCAAGTCCTTTTCCTTTTTTCTTTCTCTCTCCACCATGCTTCTTTAGAGAAGAAGTTCCATTTGCATTACAGAAGTTTTCTTTATTCTAACAAGTCCAAGAAACTGAATCTGTTTCTAGAAATTGGGGAAACAAGAGTCTTAGTTGCTTTTCTATTACTATAGTACAATACCATGTTCAAGGTAGCTTATAAAAAAAGTACTCATTGGGGCTTACAGTTTCAGATGGTTAGAGTCCATGATCATCATGACAGGAGCATGACAGTATACAGGCAAGCACGGTACTGCAGCAGTTGCTGAAACCTCACATCTTGAGATGCAACCATGAGGCAGAGAGAAAGAGAACAATGGAAATCCATGGACTTTTGAAACCTCAAAGCCCACCTCCAATGACATGCCTCCTCCAACAAGGCCTCACCTCCTAATCCTTCCCAAACAGTTCCATCCACTGGGAACCAAGCATTCAAACACATGAGCCTATGGGGGGGGGGGGTGGCATTCTCATTCAAATCACCACAACAAGGTAACTGATAAAAAGAATTCAAATCAGTGTAGTTCCCTCAAGACAAATCAGTTGATGTCTTTCTAAAGATCACTTTCATAAAGATTTTTAAAAAATCCAGCTGTCTATGATTTAGCTAAGAATAAACAAATAAAAAGAAACCCAAATTTTCCCAGCAGCACATGGGAAAACTTTACTAAAGATCAAAAAGTGCAAACTAAAATTTCAGAATGTCATCTTTTAAAAATTTGAATATATAATCAGGAGTCTGTCTCAAAGGTCAATCCCCAGCACTTATGAGTATTTATAAGGTAAGCATACTCATGTACCACTGGACAGGGGGGCATGCATATTTATATAACAATTCTGAAGTTATTATTTCAGAAAAATATTTCAAGAGCTCCTGAAATGTTCATGTCTTTTGACTAAGAAATGTACATTTAGGAAATAATGCTAAAGGGAAAGTGTTTGAAATCCCACCAGTGGTTCTTAGGCAATTACATTCATCATAGTGCTATTTTTGATATCAGAAGGTGAAAATGGCTGGCAAGATAGTTCATTGGGTAAAAGTGCTTGCCAGGAAAGCCTGACAACCTAAGCTCAATCCCCAGAACCTGACTCCTCAAAGTTGCCTTTCGCCCCATCCTGGCACCATGGCACACACGAGACTGCATTCATATGTGTCATACACACAAACACACATGCACACACAACAACAGTAATAATAAATAAAAATTTTAAGGTAGAAAAATTAGCCCACCAAAAATGACTATGAGTACATAAAGTATGGGGTATCACTACCATGTGGATTGTTTTTAATGACTACTTAATGATATAGGCCAAATACAGCACGAAGTTAAATCAGAGGTTTTCATCCAGAGATAATTTTTCCAACTCATGAGCTTTTGGCAAAAACAAAATTTCTGGAGGTATATTTGTTTGTTGCAACTTGTGAGAAATGAATGCAATTGTCATCTAGTAGACAGAGGACAAGGATGATGCTGAACATCCTATGGTACAAAAAACAGCCCCAAAATAAACAGCCCACCCAAATGTTAATAGCACTGTCCTAGTTTGCTTTTCTGTTCCTTCAATAAACACCATGACCAAAAGCAGCTTGAAGAGAAAAGGATTTATTTCATCTTACAGGTTACAGTCCATTATCAAGGGAAGCCAAGACATGAACTCAAGGCAGAAGCTTGAAGCAGAAACCAGGGAGAAATGCTGCTGACTGGCCTGCTCAGTTTTCTTTCTTATATAGTCCAGGCCTACCTGCCTAGGAATGGTGCCACCCACAGTGGACTAGGCCTTCCCACATTAGTCATCAAATAAGATAACTCCCACATACATGCCTATAGGACAATCTGATAAAGGTAACTCTTCAACTGAGGTTCCATCTTTTCAGGTGACTCTGGTTTGTATCAAGTTTGACAATAAAAACTAACCACTATAAGAACCATTGCTGGGTAACAATCAGATGAATCAAATAAGTCATAATATTTGGAATGTGGATTGTTCAACTGGCTGGGAACATGAGAGGAAGTTGATTCTGCATCTTGAGCTAGAATTTCTTCAAGAAACCTCAGCTTTTACCTTAAAGCCTATAAATGATAAGGTATAGCTCACCTACATTACAGAGAGTAACTTGCTTTACTTAAAATATATTTGGGGGATTAGAGAGATGATTCACCCATTAAGAGTGTTGCTGCACCCCCATAAAAAGCTATATATGCCTATAACTCCAGTTCCAAGGTTGGTGAAAAAAGAAGATGAATGGGGCTTGCTCACTTCCACCTCAGTAGAGAAAATATGAGCCCCAGGTTCAGGGAGAGGCCCTGCCTCAAAAGCACTAGGTAAACAATGATAGAGAAGGGTACCTAACACCCTCTTCTTGCCTTCACATGTGCACACAAGTGCATGCACCAGCACACACATGTGTCTATGAATTCACACACACACAGAAAAAAAAAATTAAATCTTAAAATATACCTGGGGTTGGTGAAGGTATGGGGAGAAGAGAGGGTAGAGGGAAGAGTGTGACCAGAATACATTATATACACATGTGAAGTTATTAAAGAATAAATAATTTTTAAATTTAAATAAATATAAATATATTTATTATATCAACAAATAGTCCAATGAATGGAATAGACAGTTCTTGAAAGAAGAAATACTTGAAAAACGTTCAACATCCTTAGCCATCAAGGAAATACAAAGCAAGGCTGCCTTGAGATTCTCTCTCACCCCAGTCAGAGTGGCTATCATCAAGAAAACCAATTACAATAAATGCTGCAGAGATCGTGGGGAAAGAGGAGTGCTTACTTGACGCTGGTGGGAATGCAAAATGATGCAGCCACTGTGGAAAACATTGTGGAGGTTTCTAAAAAAAAAAAGAAACCTAAGACAAGAACCTTTAGGTAGATACCTAAAAGAATCTAAGTCAGAACTCTACAGAGATACTTAAACATCTGACTATTGCTGTAATAGTCACACAAGATATGAAGTCAGTCATTACTCTATACAGGAAAGAAAGAATGAAGGGAAAGAGAGATTGTATTCATTCACATGGAAGAAAACAGTACCATCTGGACTAGTTCTGTAACTGGGTGATACAGCTTAGCCAAACTGACAGATAGGTCAAGGGCAACCTGTGAATGTGTTCCACAAGGTACATAGCAGAAAGGAAGAGGGTTAAGGGTGGAACAATAGCTGGTACTGCTTTAATAGCTGCCTGAGAGCAAGTGTTCCATTGTAAGGAAATTTGAAACATGATTGGTTGAACAAATTGAAGCCAATTATTTTCCTAGTTAAATTGAGATGGGGGGCATTCTGAGCAGGAGGGGTGGTTGCTAGGCATTAATGTGTATTATGAACAGAGTGTAAATGAGTTTATGCATCTGGACAAAGATGTCTGAGTGGAGTGGGGCAGGCAGGGCCCACCAAGTAGAGAGGCTTATAAGCTAATGACCTTAGCGTGTATTAGTAGTACTTTTAATTTTATTCAAGAGGTCACTAGAGTTATTCAGAGCTTTGTAGAATGGGAGTGTTCTCTTCCAGATAAGAGTTGAAGAAAGTATTTGCACTGCTAGGTGCAGGATGCTTTGAGCAAGGAGCAGAGAAGCCAGAAAGGATGCAGGTAGATCTTGAAAGTCATCAATTCTGGTATAACTTAAGTGGGAATGAAAAAGAAGCAAGGCTTTCCACCAAGATGGTGCCACAAGCAAAGAAGGAAGCTCCTGCCTCTTCCAAAGGCAAAGCAAAGGCCTTGAAAGCCAAAAAAGGTAGTGTTAAATGGCATCCACAGCCTCAAAGAGAGGAAGATCCATTTATTACCCAGCTTCCAGTAGCCCAAGACCCTGCAGCTCCAGAGGCAGCCCAAATACTCTCGAAAGATATACCCAAGAGAAACAAGCTTGACCACTATGGCATCATCAAGTTCCCCCTGATCACCGAGTCAGCCATGAAGAAGACAGAGGACAAGAGCACACTTGTGTTCAGTGTGGCTGTCAAGACCATTGAGCACCAGATCAATCAGGCTGTAACGAACCTCTAAGACATTGATTTGGCCAAACTCAGTAATACACTTATAAGGTCTGATGGGCAAAATAAGACAAATGATCTACGGCTACCTGCTGATTATGATGCTCAGGATGTTGCCAACAAAATTGGGATCATCTAAACTGAGTTCAGCTGGCTAACTCAAAACACACATTTTTTTTTCACCATAAAAACAGAAACAAAAAAAGAAGAAGAAGCAGGAAGGGGCTGGAGAGATGGCTCAAGAGCACTTTCTGGTCTTCTAAATGATCTGAACTGTTTTCCCAGCACATGTACAGTTCACAACTGACTGTGTAACTCCATCTCTAGTAGATCCTTTGTCCTTTTTGGACCTCCATTAACACACACATATGGCATACACACAAAGAGAAACACATAAATTAAAAATAAATAAATAGGGCCGGGCGGTGGTGGCGCATGCCTTTAATCCCAGCACTCGGGAGGCAGAGCCAGGCGGATCTCTGTGAGTTCGAGGCCAGCCTGGGCTACCAAGTGAGTTCCAGGAAAAGGCGCAAAGCTACACAGAGAAACCCTGTCTCGAAAAACCAAAAAAAAAAAATAAATAAATAAAAATAAATAAATAAATAAATAAATAAATAAATAAATATTTTTTTAAATTTAAAAAGGAAGCAGGAAAGCCAAGCAATACTTTAGAGAAAAAAATGCTTAGGAGCTGGGAATACAGCTTAGTCAGTAGAGTGCTCGCCATGCAAGCAAGAGGACATGAGTTTAATCCCCAGGAACCATGAAAAAGTCAGATGTAGTAGCATGCATTTGCAATCTCAGTGCTGGGGAGGCAAAGGCAGTTAGCCCATGGGTAACTGCTGAGCAGGCAGCCTAGCCTACTTGATGACCTCTAGGCCAGGGAAAGACTGTCGCAAAGTAAGATGAGTGACATCAAGAACAACATGTGAAGTTGGCCTCTACATGCATGTGCCCACACACTAACAGGGAGAGAGAGAGAGAGAGAGAGAGAGAGAGAGAGAGAGAGAGAGAGAGAGAGAGAGAGAGAGAGAGAGAGAGACCTTGATAGAAGGGAAGGAAGGAAGGAAGGAAGGAAGGAAGGAAGGAAGGAAGGAAGGAAGGAAGGAAGGAAATGCCTACTGGCGAGCAAAGAGAGATGACTTGAAAGTTGGGAAATGGGGCCTGTGAAGTTGGTTCAGTGAGTAAAAGCAGTAGCCACACACTAGCCACGAAAGCCTGCTGACCTGAGTTTAACCCCCAGAAGCCAGATAAAAAACCAAAAGAGATGGAACCCATCTGTAATCTCAGCACTGCTATGGCAAGGTGGGTAGCAGAGAATCAACCCGAAGTTCTTGGGCCATCTAGCCTGGTGTAGGAGTGCAGTGTAGTACCGCAGAAGACACAAAAGAGACCCTGACTCCACAAGGTAGAAGGCAAGAATCAACTCCTGTAAATTGTCCTCTGGTGGCCATATGTGCCCTGAGGTACGTGGGCAGTAGGTAAGCATGCACTTTCATGCATATGCTTTCTCTCTCTCTCTCTCTCTCTCTCTCTCTCTCTCTCTCTCTCTCTCTCTCTCTCTCTCTCCCCCCCCCTCTAATTTTAAGTTGGGAAATAATCACAGAACTATCTCATCATATTAAAGATCCAAGTTACATTTTCAGTCCATCCAACTTCAGGCATCAAACAGCTCTTTCATTCCAAGCAAAAATTGGAGGTTCTTTGTGTAAGAGGGCAAACTGACACAAACTCCATCCATCCCACTGTGCCACTGGAAAAATGCTTACAATAATATAAGAATTGCAAATAAAATAGAAGAAGCTTCTCAGAGGAAAAAACTAAAAAGAGGGGATTTATAACAGGGACTAAAAACAATATCATTGAAGAAATCTATAGGAAGGCTGTGTTAATAGCTGAGATAAAAGAATGTCTTTAAACACCACCATCAATGAGAAGCTTCATGGGTGCCAGAAATCACAGAAGAAATACAATACACAGTTTTTTCCACAAAGCTTTGGTCCCCTATCTTGGCATCTAGGCATTTAATAGAAACATATAAAACTGTGTTTTGTTCTCTATCATAACCCCCAACAAGGACACCTCTGCAAATTTTCATTTTCTAGAACTACCCAACCTCTCAGAATAAATAGAGTAGACCTTCTACATACATCATGGACTGAAGGAATGGATGCTGCTCTTAGAGTTGAACGGCACAGACCCTGACCTCACAGCTGACTCCGTGATAGCCGGACGACGGTGGCACACACCTTTGATCTCAGCACTTGGGAGGTAGAGGCAGGTGGATCTCTGTGAGTTTGAGGCCAGCCTAGTCTACAGAGTGAGATCCAGGACAGGCAAGGCTACACAGGGAAACCCTGTCTCCAAAAAACAAAACAAGCAAACAAACAAAGACTGACTCCAAAAACCAGTTCTCCTTCTGAATCCTTGAAGCATCCTTGCCTTTAGAATGGAGAAAATTTAAGGCAAAATGACATGATTAAATATACTATGGAAACAAGCATTTGTGGACAGGGAATTCATGAAGGCAGGCATTCAACCTGCTCCAGCCCTACCTCCAGGTAGGGAGAGCTGATAGGAGCCCTGTATGTGAGCAGGGCTAAAAGCTATGGTAAAGAAACTTCCAAACACGTTGAGCTGCAAATATGGTGCTGTATGAACTTTTCCAGGGGAGATATAAACAAATGTCCACTCACTCCGGCACCAATGACAGATCAAAATACTAATTCCACCCAAATCAGACTTAGTGAATCGATGAGTTTATTGGGGCTATTTACTGGAGCATGGGGTGACCCCAAGACAGTGACATCACTGAAGAGTCTCACATCATCATGGGTAACAATCTCCAAAAGCAACATAGATTGAGTACCCACTTACGCTCACCATCCATATGTGCATACTCTAGCACCTCAAGAGACTGTGTAGCTGGAGCCGAATTACATGCAGCTGGGAGGGGCATGCAGGAGAGAGTGGCTGAGATCTCAGATGAGGATCTAATGACCCTCCCCATTTCCTTTTGCTGTGAGGAAATATCATCAGGTTTTGCCCTGGAGGTCTCTTGCGAATATTCACAGCTGTTCTGATAACGATGGTAATGTTAGGCTGCTATATTCAGAGGTCCACATTCCATAACACACAGAATCTCTGGGGTTCTGGAGGAATGGAGGAGAAGCACATATGGGCTGAAACTATAACTCCGTGGTAGACTGAGCCAAAAGTTTAAAGAAAAGCACCTATAACCCAGAACTTGGCCTCCTTCCTCATCCCCCACCCCAACTGGTTGCCATGGAAACCCCTAATCACACTTTCAAGGCTTCATTAGCACTGCCATTTTGACTGTAATAAAGACAGAAAATACGGCTTTAATATAGTTAGCTTTTCATTAATTGCTTTTGTCGAAGAATGTTTCTGCCATCTAATGAAGAAGAAAGCAAAGAGCAGTAATTTCCCCAAAAGGTCAGGGAGCGAGAACATATGGGAAATTCTCCTCTCGGAATTGCTCAGTCTTTCCTAGTGAAATCCCATCTCTCTGAGTTCAAAGTTGCTATTTATGCAATAGGTGTGACAGAACATTGGAAAGCACTGGCTGCAATGACAGTTCCGTTTCTAAGGGCTCAAGATTAACAAGAAATCATTACCCATGTCCTCCTGCCACATTAGCTGCTAAGATTAGCAAGGATCTAAGACCCAGAAACGACTCCCCAACATCAAGGTAGTCTGGTGTGTGATGCGTGCTAGCAAGCCCAAGGACTCTAGGAAATTGAGAGTGAGTGCTTCAGAGAAGACTATGGGGGTGAGAATGGCCTACTTTATTATTCATAGCTCACAATCATTGAGCACGTGCAATACAGTGAGGCGCTGTGCTCTCTCCAACCCTTCTTTGCATGCCCTCACTGAATTCTCCCCCCCAAATCTTTTAAAGTAAGTACTGTTGTTGTCCACATTCTACCAAAGAAAAGCAAAGGTTCCGGGAGTCAGTAAACAGCCCCAGTCCAGAAAAAGGAAAAGGAAAAGGAGCAAAACCACCACAGGAATAAGACTTTCAAAGGGGCTGGGAGGACGATTCCATGAGTCAAATGTTTGCTGTGAAAGCTTGAGATGCTGAATCTGAATCTCCAGAACCCATGTAAGAGTCAGACGTGGCAGCACATGCCTGTAACCCTAGTGCTGGCAGCAAGGAGCAGACACAGGAGGATCCCCGGGGCCTTGCTGCTCAGCCATTCTAGCTGAAATGGTGAGCTTCATGTTCAGCGAGACCTTATCTCAATAAATAAGGTGGAGAGTAATAGAAGATACCTGAAGTCCACTGACCTTCATGTGTACATACACAGTCAAGCATACTACATGCAACCACAGTGCACGCACATACACATGCATGGATGCACACACACACACACACACACACACACACACACACACACACACACACATGCATTTCCTAAAAATCAAGAATTTCAAGGCCTCAGAAGCCTGTGGCTAACAATTCAAGTTGAATATCATCAGCATCTCAAATGCTCTCCCTGCTGCAAAATACCACTGAAAATCTTCCAAGGATGGCTTTCCTGTGCCTGTGGATCAGCTTGTCAGCAACAATCACTATCTGGTATTTTTTCTCTCCCCTCTGACTCTCCCTGAACAGCTCAACCTTGAACCCTCATGGTGTCAGGGTTGCCAGTTTTTAAAATTTGGGGTTCAGGCTACAAATCAGTGATAGAGTATTTGCCTATCATGTGTTAGGGCATAAATTCAATCCCCAGTACTAGGAGGGGAAAACACTTCGGTCCCTTACTAGGGCTCATATTTGTAATTCCAGCGTTCAGGAGGCTGACACGGGACAGATGCAAGTTTGAAGTCAGCCTAGCCTACATAGCAAGATTCCGTTCCAAATCCTCTAAATTAATTAATTAAATAAAGTGTCCACAGTGTTTCTGGGAGCCACTGAGAAGTGAAGACATGGACTCTCATCCTTTCACAGTAATGCCATTGCCTGTCACCTGACCTTGAAGCTACTAA